TCAAATTTTCCAACTATTTATATTACCAACTTGTTAAAATTTAGCATACTTGGAAACATAATCCTGCCACGTCACCTACATTCAGATAGTCATCGCCTCACCTTTAACACCCAACCCTCTGGAAAAATAAAACACGAACAAATGTTAGCTCTGAGTCGCTCGTAAAAATTTGCAGTGCGCTAAGCAAAACTTACATTTTCTGGCGTGAAACTGGCACAGAAATGAGAACTTTTGCTTCTTTGATTCATCTCATTACCTAGAACCCTACCTAGGCTTTTCTGTATGCTGTGGACAAAATCTGACATGTCTTCCGTGGCCCAGTTTAAATGAAAAGTCTGCCACAGAACATGCTTAATTCCAATGGCCATATTCAGTTGTTCCCTTCCTAGTGGTCCCACAGGTATACTTTATTATTCTCTTTAATGACAGTTTCTTTTTTCCTGCTTTAGGAAAAAATATTTTTTGCCTTCTGTTCTTTCATTGTTTATCTTCCTTTTTAATTGTGAGCATGTCTCGTGCACAGCACAGACATGTACTAATTGCTTGTTATCTGTGGGCCTGTGTTTAAATTACTACCTGGTGCTTAAACACTTCTCATGAGTTGTTTGGCACCTGCTGTATGCAGGGCACAACTTTATGCACTCTCAAGAGGACACAGAAAGAAGTCTGAGATGGGGTTTGCCCACCAGTTTTTCACAGATTTGAAAATGTAGTGTTCTGGGCAAAAGTGGTTTAGGAGCTTAAAAATCGTAATCAGTTCAAGGAAATACGCCCCCCCCCCCCCAAGAAAAAAACAGTACTGTTTTTAGTGCCTTATATATAAAGCCATTCTGTTAATTAAAAAAACAAACCTGTGTTAGGTTTAACTTACTTGCTTTGTGTGTTTGGCATATTTGACATATAAAACCAAAAAATTGAAATGTTTTCATTTTCTGCAGTATGTGAGGAAAACAGCAGCCTGAAGGTGTCCCAAAGTGGGGAAGAGGGACTATATTTTTGTGAAAATTTTAGTAAATTTTCTGGAATGTTTCTCACCTGTGGAGAAGACCTAGGACACAAAAGCATTAAGTGTTAATATTGATTCAAGAATTAAATCACCAAAACATTGGTGTGAGAAATTAAAGACCTAAATAAATACAGAGAGATTATGCTTGTGGGTTAGAAGACACAATATTAAGATTCACTGAATTAATAGATTCTATTCAATCTCAGGCAGAATTTGCTGAAATTGATAAACTGACTCTGAAATACTTATGGAAATTAAAGGACCTGGAACAGTCAAAACAGCTTCAAAAATGAAGGACAAAGTTAGAAGACTAATATTAGCTGTCATAAGAATTCTCATAAAGCTATGGTAAATCCAGATATTGATATTGGCATCAATATCACCAAATAGAACAATGGATCAGAATAGAGCATCTAGAAAACAACCCACATATTTATGCACAATTGACTTTTGACAAAGATGCAAAAGCAGTTCACTTGTTCCAGGACAATTAGATATAGTTGGAATAATTTGGATATCCATATACAAAAATAGGGGAGAAAAGCTTCAGTTAAGTTCCTTATACCACATATGAAAATTAACAGAAAGTGGGTTATAATCAAAATGTATGACCTAAAACTATAATACTTCTAGAAAGGAGGAGCAAATCCTTGTGACCTTATATTAGGCAAAGATATTTTAAATATAACACTCAACAGCATGATCCATAAAAAAACAAATTGATAAATTGGATTTCATCAACATTAAAAACTTCCGTTCTTCAAAAGACACTGTTATGAGAATGAAAAGATGAGCCACAGACTGGGAGAAAATATTTATAAATCATATGAACACTTGTATATAAACATTGTATGCAGAATATATAAATAACTCAATAGTGAGAAAACAACCAATTTTTTAAAAATGAGCAAAAGATTTGAATAGACTTGTTGCCAGAAAAGAAATGCTAATGGCAGTAAGCACATGAAAGAATAGGCAACATCGTTAGTCAGTAGAAAAATACAAATTAAAACCATAATGAGATATTACTAACACCTGTTAGAATTGCTAAACTCGAAAACTGACCATACCAAGTGTTGGTGAGGATGTGGAAGAACCGAAACTCTCATCCACTGCTGGTGGGATGTAAAATGGCACAACCATCTTGGAAAAATAATCTGGTGGTTTCTTACAAAGGTAAATGCACACCTATGGAATGATCCAGCCATTCAGCTCCTAGGTATTTATCCAAAAAAATGAAATTCACAGACTTGTATGCACGTTTATAGTCACTTCATCTGTAATAGCCTAAAGCTCGAAACAACCCAAATGTCCATCCACAGGTAAGTGGATAAACCTTAATATTGATATAATCCATGCAGTAGAATACCATTCAGCAATATAAAGGAATGAAATATTGATACATGTTGCAAATGGATGACTCTTCATATCATTATTCTGAGTGAAAGAAGCTGTATTTACACATAGACTCTACATGCTGTATGATTACATTCATGTAAAATTCTAGAAAATGCAAACTAATGTATAATGATAGGAAGAAGATTAGGGGTTCCCTGGGGGTAGGGGATGTGGAGAGAGACTGGAGGGATAGATTAAAAATGAGTAAAGGGAAACTCTGGGGGATGCTGGATGTGTTATCTTAATTGTGGTGATGCCTACATATGTCAAAATGTATTATATACACTTTTTAAAAGTGCATTTTATTCCCTGTCAGTATTTTAGGGGTTCCCAAGACCACTACCTGCTTGGTGATTTACTAGCACTCACGGCACTCAGTTGCACTTGTGGCTTGGATTTATTACATGGATGCAGCAAGAATGCACAGCTGGATCAGTAAAGGAAAAAGACACCAGGCAGGGGCTGGAGGAATCCGCGTGCGGGCTTCCTACCCTTCCTTCCTTCCTTCCTTCTCCCTTCCTTGGGGATCACACAGAGCACGCTTTCCCTCCAGCAATGAAAATGTAACCATAAGTATACAATGTTTACGTCCAGGGAAACCCATTTGAGACTCAGAATTCAGGGCTTTTATTGAGGGCTGGTCACATAGGCACCCCTGGGCCACCAAAATTTCAGATTCCCAAAGGAAAGGAGTTGTTCAGTGCCCCAGGCAGACAAAGCAACCTTATCTGTGTAGGAAGTGATTCAAAAGTCAAGTTCCCAGAAGCTAGCTAGGGCCAACCTTACAAGCAGACCTTTCTAAAGATAACATCCTCAGGCTTATTAACTTTTTTCCTAGAGTCAGATGTACCACCAGTAGAGCATTTAAAAAATCATAGAAGTTTAATATGAGCTAACAGAAGATAATTGTGATTAATTGTTGAAAAAGTGATAGTATAAAAAATAGTAATTTCAGATTTGAGGCAGACCAATGCAGTGAGATCATCATTACCTGGAATGCTCCACACTCTTAAATCTTTTTAGAACAAGGTGGGAATAATAATAAGTAAAGTTGGCATGCTCGGCTAACGGGAGCTTTTAATTACTTTTACTTTTGTATGACTTCCACTTCATTTGTATCTGAAAGTTTTTCCCAAGTATATCATTTTTCTTCCTTTCATGAAAAAATTCCTTGATTGGCCGGGCGCGGTGGCTCACGCCTGTAATCCTAGCTCTCTGGGAGGCCGAGGTGGGCGGATTGTTTGAGCTCAAGAGTTCGAAACCAGCCTGAGCAAGAGCGAGACCCCGTCTCTACTAAAAATGGAAAGAAATTAATCGGACATCTAAAAATACATAGAAAAAATTAGCCGGGCATGGTGGCGCATGCCTGTAGTCGCAGCTACTCGGGAGGCTGAGGCAGAAGGATTGCTTGAGCCCAGGAGTTTGAGGTTGCTGTGAGCTAGGCTGATGCCATGGCACTCTAGCCCGGACAACACAGTGAGACTCTGTCTCAAAAAAAAAAAAATTCCTTGATAATCATCATTGAACCACTGGTTAACTAATCGTGACCCAGTTCATTTCCGTAGCAAATAAAAGGCAAAGCATTGGTGTTGACATTATAATTACTTCCACAGGAGCTCCACCTCACAAAGCCATGCAGATAGCCTAAGGGAATAAAATCCAGCTTGTACTGTGATGGCCAAGCCATGGACACCAGCATGGAGTGCGTCTGCCTGAGGAAGGGGCACCTTTTTCTAGTTTGCACTAAGCTGCTATATGGACTGTTTACCCTATGCCCTGGAAGAAGGTGGTGGGTGGAGGTGGTAGTGGTCCCCCAAAATGCTGCCTAGTATCAGCAAGATTTCTTGTGAGCATGTGTTTCCCCTTAAACAAATCCGGCTATTAACTTTCCATTGAGGGTTGTGTTTAACCAGGATTTCACTACCCGTGACCGTGTGCGCCAGACGAGGATCAGCTACTCCAGCTGCCTGCGGGCGGCATTCTTCTCTCTCGCTTGGCCAGGTTGCCCTTGAAAAGGAAGCAAGCATTTAGGGTGCATGTTTCTTTTTGTCACTCTGGAGGATGCCCGGTGTCGTTTCTTATCTGGATCCCATTATTAATGTCCTCAGCCAAGATTTTTATGTATCTATAGCAATAAAAGTTCAAAGAAAGGACACTCCTGTGGCTCCTCTGAGTGAAGTTTTTGCTCTGAGTAATGAAGTTGCCTTAAGAAGAATTAAACCTTCTTCCTTTGGAAGATATGAAGTATTATTTAAAAGATTCAACTTTGAAACAAATAGAAAATATTTGATAGTCACACCTTAGCTTCAACTAAGTGATGTCGAGGCATGGACACCCACTTTATATTTATTGAGCCTTGAACCACCAGGTAAATTTATGACTGAGGGCAAAGCCCGTGGCACTGGAGAGTCAAACATCATGGACTGGGGCAGCGGTCCATCAACACACAGATTCTGTTCAGAAACCTTCAGTGTTTAAAATCTACACCTCCCCCCCCAACACACACACACACACACACTGCTAGGTAGCTCACATTTGTTTCCTCCCTTCTTTTCCCTAAGGAAACTTAAAACACATCTCTTTTCCCCTTTTACAGATGCGGACCACACGCAAGGTCTCTGTCTGGCCCGTGGGCCTGGTTGGTGGGCGACGCTATGAACGTCCGTTGGTGGAAAATGGCAAAGTGGTTGGTTGGTACACCGGCTGGAGAGCAGACAGGCCTTTTGCCATCGACATGGCAGGTGAGGAGTGTGGATGGGGACATTTGTACCTGCCTGATTGTTCCGATGCTGTGCACTAGAAGAAGGAAGCTTTAACACATTAACTGCCGTGTGAGTTGTATTTAACTCACGCTAGTTTTGACCTGAGGCTTCGTGAAGCGTATGTAACTCACAGGTCTCTTTATCTTGGGAGCCGCCTGTACTATTTTTCAAGTTGCATGTAACTCACACACAGAAAACAATGAAAAATAACAAATTTTTCATTAAATTAGAGAGGATCATTTTGTTTTCAAAGTTTGTATTCTATTTTTGTAATAAAACACCATGGCCCTGAGGAAAGAAATTTTTTTTCTAGTGTGGCAGTCAATGCGTTACAGGGCCAATCTGGACAAAACCCTAGGTAATATCGTATTCAGCAGAGAAAATATTTAACTAAACCTTTAAACTAGACTTTTTGGTTAATTCAAGTAGAAATTGATTCGGGGGGTGATTAGAAAATGCTCATTGCGTTCCATTTTGTCACCTGTTTATGCAGCAAACGTTTATGTGGCAGGTCCTGGGTTGGGGATTGGGGATTCAGTGTCGAAAGCCAGACCTGGCTGCTGCCTCCCAGGGGTCTGTTAGCTGGAACCTTTTGGTTCCCTTCTCGAGAAGATCAATATATTAAAATATGTCACGTGTTTATTGATAAATGCCATAATGATATAAATGACAAGTCATTTCAATGCTTAGTGATAATTTTAGTGCTTTATTGATATAATCCAAATATAAAATTGGATTATTGGTTTCCAAGCATTCATTAACTTCAAGTATAACTGCCTTTTAAAGTTATTATTCCCTGAACAACCAACTGAATTGAATTAGACCTGTAGTAGACCACAAGCTCTAAAATGCTTCTTAGTCATAAAGCAAATCATTTTCTGTGGGTTATATAAAAGGATGCCTGTGATAACTGTGGAAGCATGAAGTTTGAAACATGAGGCTCAGAGGGAAAAAAAAATCACTGACATCTATACCCCAGAAGATGAAGGCAGAAAGGCTTCAGAATTGGTCTCATCAATCTTCAGCTCTGAAGCACAACCCTGTCTGTGTGTCAGCCTGCGTTGGCCCAATCTTCCGTGCATGCTTCTGAACTGTAGTCAAAGTCTCTATGCTCAGAATTCTGATGGGGTGAAGGCTGTGTTCTGAACTGGATTCATCACTTTTATTCTGGCAGTGCTGTAAATTCGAGGGAGCCAGATCATGAAGAATGCTAGGAATCACCTGGGGGCAGAGCTCTCGTGGATAGCCGTGTGGTGGGTCTGTCACACTGCACTGCATCATGGGAGAAGACAAACTGGGAGATTTTTACTCAGCTTTTAACAGACATTTCGAGAGCATAGCTTTGTGGAACTGCGTGCCGTGGTCTTTGACCCCCAGGGCAGTCTAGATCTCCTGCCCTTTCCTGATCGTCCTCCCTCAGGTCCCCTCTCCACCTCTCTGTCAATCCCCAGCCATATCCTTTGGTCTTCAGTTCTTGCAGCCCCAGAGCTGACCTGGCTTCTTAGCCAAGGCGGTTACCTGGAGGCAGACAGAGAAGCAGGTGGGCCATCCTGGGAGGGTCCTGAGGTCTCTCAAAAGAGGCCTTTCGTCATCCAGTCTGAGTCCATGGTTCTGAAAATGTGAGGCTGACTATAGTGGATCTTTTAAAAACCAGCCCTCTTGCTGCCCAGAAGTGAACCCTTGAGGGGAAAATTTAGAGACTGTTAGGGAAAGTCCTTTCGCTTCCCTGGGACTTAGTTTCCTCGTGTAACATGAGGCAGCTGCAGGAGAAGACAACCAAGGTCCCCTCATGTATGCCGCCATTTGCTGGCTTCCCACCTTGAGAAGCTCAAAGAAAAGCCGAAGCCCCTGGACTACAGAGTGAGGATTGTGACCGCCCAAGCAGCGGCTGGCAGACATTTGACCCTGATCTGTCCCAGAGCTTGTTCTGACACACACTTCCCAGGCATGACTCCTTAGACGTGGGCTGTCTGCCTGTTCTTGCATGGGTCATTTCAAGGTGAGGGCGATTGGGTAACTCTTCCTAGATCTTAATGCAAAAACTTTATTGTCTCAATTGTCCCTTAGGGCACCCATGCCACTCCACAGCAGTGGGCAGGGGAGTGGAGAGGTAGGAAAAGAGTCTGAATGGAGGAGAGCTGGCACTCTGGTCCCCTTTGTCCCTCTCCCCAGAAGGTAGCCCACCAGGAATGTCCAAGCTCTGGGATCACACAGTTCGCCCAGGACCCTTGGCCCCTGTTGCCACCACAGTCTGAGCTAGAGTTGGGAAATGTTTTTTGTGGGAACAAATGGCACAAAAACTGAGCGGCTGAAGCTCCCTGGGGAGGACAAAGGCACAGGATGGGTGGAGAAGCAGTATGGCGCCTGCCGTCTCAGCTCAGATCTGTGACCCTAAGGGGACTGGCAGCCCAGTGCTTTGTTTGCAAGAGCTTTTAGTTCATTGGTGGCAGCAGCTTTTGGGCTTGTGAGGGTAGGAAAGCTCTCCAGCATCTTGGGAGTCTGCTGACTGCCAGAGGTGTGAGGGAAGGAGAAACAAAACCCCCACCTACTCTTTCCACAGGACTCCCACCTTTCTCAGGGTTTGATCTCTGCCGACATCTTGCTCCTTCTTTTTCAGTTCCACAGCCTCCTCCTGGGGGATCTCCAGTAGGTTCTGGCACTTTTCCCTCATAATTGCACCTGAGCTATGTTTTTTGTTTTGTTTTTGCATCTAAAACTTTTCCATTTTTCTAAGATGATCTGGCGACCAGGGTGTCTAGTCAGCCATCTTGCCTGCCTCTCCCTCAAAATCTTGAAACTTAAAGAGCTAAACTATAACATTTCCGCAGGTGTCTTGCTTTGTGGGTCTGAGCATATTCAGTGGAAGCACCTCAGGGCCTGTCCTGTTGTATTTCTATTAAGTCATCACACAGCCCATCCCTGGAAGCTCATTCGAGTGTCAGACACTGAAACCGTGATGTTTTGTGTCATTCATGCAGTTCTTACACTTTCTTTTTATTGCCATCTTGGACTTGCCCAGCATTGAAATTTTGCTCTCAGATGACATGAAACAATACTTTGAAATTATCTTGCGTACACAACATTGATGGCAGAAGGAAAGATTATTTCTGTTCCACTGGATGACATAAAAACAAATTTCTAATGATTACTACTTTAAAAAATTAATGTACCCAACCCACAAAGTGGAAAGAAAACATGGGAGGCAGCCCCGCCACAGCATGAATTTGACTTTTCTAGCTGATCAGTGGTGAGCTGCTCTGCCAAGCCAGTGAGACCCTGGGGTGACAGATGTACCCTGGCCACTTTCAGGAAGGTGTCAATGAGAACGATTTCTTGAAAGAAATGAGCTTAAAGTAAGCTTCAGCCTTACCAGAACCTGTAAATTTGTTCAAGTTCAGAAATTAAGGCTGAGATATTTATTAGGAATTTTCAGCGTTGGCATGCACCTTATATTGACTGTAGGAGGTGGCAGGCAGGGCCCTGTGCTCCCTTAACGACAATATACACGGTTCCCAGTCCGGTTCATGGCGCACATAGGTACTCTATTCTGGTAGAGACCCAATGAGGTGTGCTGCAGTGAAATCCTGGCATCAATCCCCCGGAGTTGGTGCAGACCCCACAAGTTAGAGAGCGTAGGTTCCAACAAGACTGCCCTTACTTCAGAAGCCAGCCACATGGGGGACTCCCAGGCCACCTGCATTTCTGCCCAATCCCCTCAAGTCCGATAATTTACTAGAATGACTTAGAGAACTTAGAAAAGTACTAATCGTTATAATGTATATTATAAAGGATACAAATTGGGACCAGCCAAATGAAGAGACACACAGGGCAGGTCTGGAGGGGCAGCAGGGGAGAACGTGATGTAAGATCTCTTCCTTACGATGAGAAGTCTAGCAAGACTTCGTTTTCTGGCCTGGAGTCCTGTGCACAAGGTTGTGTCAGAGCCCTGAGATTGGATGAGCCTCCACAGGGAGATTCTGTGGTGGCCTCAGGTTGCATCTTAGGAACAGTCATTTAAAATGGCTGCAGGAGAGGAGCTGGGGAAGGAAATAAGGCCCTGCAAGAGGGTGTCAGGGCAGACGGTGACAACCGCTGCTGGAGAGAAGAGGTGGGTGAATCATGAATTCCTTCGTTTGTTGGGTATCTCAAGTGGAAGAGGAAGTTTTGTGGGAGTGTGGGAGCCAGAAGCAGAATTGCCTGAGGAACATTAGGTGTCTAGCAGAGCAAAGAGGGAGGAGAAGTTTAATCTGTGGAAGGATCAAGGGGGTTCCGTTTGGCAGGACAGCGATTATAGGGGATGGTGTGGAGCTGAGTGACCAGGCCGTGTGCGTTAGGAAGACGAATGGTGCAATGATGCCTGAGGTCCCTTCCAGCTCGAAGGTTGTGTGATTTTGACAAATTCTGATTCTAAGGATTGTTGAAGGGGCCCACCCTGTTTATGCCCTTCTGTCTGGTGACAGCTAGCTCATCCTCGCCTTGTGGCTTAGTGCCGTCTTTCCAGCTGGTGGTAGTTTCCAGTTGCTGGAGACCTTTGTGGGAAGGGGGCAGATGGTGGGGCTGGGGTGGAGTGGGGAGTAGGGGCCAGGAGACAGCTCTTCCAAGACTTGTGGCAGCAACGAGAAGGGAAGGGAGATGGTGGCAGTTTCAAGGGGTAGGAGAATAGTGATGGAGGAGAAGTTGAAGTTTTAAGACAAAAAAGTGTCAAAAGTCCCAAAAGAGAGCCAAGAAAGGGGATCAGGACCTTAGATGGACAGGTTCACCCAGACAGCATCACCTCTGACTCCTAGACCAAAGGTGAGATCAGTAAGGAAACCACTTGCTGGGAAGGTGGAGGGGCCAGTTGTTGGAGTCGCCCATATGTCAAATGTTAACAGAGAGGCGGAAGTAACATTTGACAGAATTCCATAGTCACTTACTGAGCATAGAATTGCACTGATCTTGTAGGAAATGTACGGCCCCTGACAGGGGAGTTTTGGATT